TCATGTATTCATCTGGTCCAAGTGCACAGAAAAAAATATGGATAGCTTTTGAGTTGAGCTGGAATAATCTCGTCTCTTTTTCACTTCATATTTCTGGATTTGTGGATAGTTCAAAGTATCCTCTCATCATGATTTTCCATGCTCCCATGTCACTAGTTTGAATGAATAACTTCATCTTATTCTTCCAATAGGCATAGTTAGCTCCATTGAAGAAAAGAGGATTGTTAACGGGCTGAGAATCAAGAATGAAGTCAAAGTTTGATGTAGAGGCCATTAATGACTTGAATATCGATTGAACTCTTCCCGAATCTTCTCAAGAGGTGGTAAAAACCTTCAAATGAGTGTAGCTCTGATATCAATTGTTGAGTTAATCGATCGGATGAATCGGCCAAGAGGGGGTGAATTGGCAATTAAAATTTTGGTGGAAGCTTTGGCAGAAAATTGAAAATATTTGCACAGCGATTTAGAGTGGTTCGGCTTTCTCAACCAAAGTCTACGTCCACTACCTTAGCTATCCATACTAAGGATTTTCCACAAATTGACTAATTTATCTTTCTTTTGAGGACAAAGAGTAACCTTACAACTCCCTCAATAATTCTACCCCAAATTCTTAAGAACACTCTCTCTCAAAGAGAAACTTACAAATTTTGCAAACTTGCGTAAAAACCTCACAAGGTAGAATGTTTGCACAATTCTAGAACAAAGAAAGAACACTCAAAGATAAATATAATCGAGCATAAAATGTGTTCTTGAAAGCAAAATGAATATTGAAAGGATTTTGGCTTGAATTGCTCAAACTTGAGGTTTGATGCTTTCTCTCTTGTTTATATCTCAATTCTTGTGTAATTCTTATTCACCAATGGCTTCAGAACTTGTTTAAATACACCTCAAATGAATTCTGAACGTTAGAAATCTTGGTGAAGTCAATAGAGTCGTTGTGGTATGAAATCCACTTCAAAAAGTTGTTGGGAGTGTATGGGTATCAGTACTCCTTCATAGGGGTATCGATACTACCAGTATAAAACTCAAATATTTCGATCGTTGCAAAACCAAAGGTATCAGTACCTCTCAAGGCGGTATTGATACTACTATATAAAGAGGTATCGATACCTGTCATAGTATCGGTACCCATTTTGCATTCTGTTATTTCTCGAAGTCAAAATCAAAATGAGGGGTATCGATACCTTTTGGCTAGGTATCGCTACTACTATATAAAGGGGTATTGATACCCTCTAGGGTATCAGTACATCTTTTGCATTCGATGTTTGAGGGGTATCGATACTCATTAAAGAGGTATTGGTACTTCCCTATTAAAAACTCAATTTTGACTCGATTATGGTTCGAAATAATTTGTAAAAATTATTTCAAAAATTTTTAAGAATGAAACACAATTTTTCATTTAAGTAAGGAGTAAAATTTGATATTTGAAAACTTGGAGTAATATTTTTTATATTCGATTAATTGAATCGAATATTATATTTAAATCAAATATAAAATCTTAAAATTAATTAACACTTTATTTGTTATATCAAAATGTTTTCAACAAATACATTAAATGCTCGATAGTTACACATGCAATTAGCTTTGTCTTAATTTTAGGTAATTTGATCAAATTAAATTTATAATTTATATTAATTTAGTCCTAAAGTTAAAATCAAATCATCTGAAATTTAAAACAAATCTTTCACCCTCCTCATCACCATCGTTAACAAATTCCCTAACACTGTCTTATATGCTGACACCAACCCGTCATTTGTGAGAATCTCTATCATCGACATCACTTTCGTCAAATTGTTCATCTTGAATGCATTATTCTACCCATTTCATTCAAATTTTATATTTGATTAAACAAAATTAATTTTTAAGTAGAGAAATCGAAGAGGAGAGGGCAATTACTTGGATAAATTCATTTATTGTATAATTTTAAAACTATCACTCTAACTTTTTGGTTAACTATTTAACAATTTAATGATTTGATTGTTATTAAAATAAAACAACGGTGACCTAATTGATAAAAACTTTAGTTTAATGGTCAGAGTAGATTTAATCCTATAGCTTAATGACTGAAGGGAGATAGTTTACCCAAAATGAGTTTTAATTGTGTAGAACTGGTATTTTGTTTGGTGAACTTGTGCGTTTTGGATATTCCAGGTGTTATATCATATAAGCAGTCGCGTCAGGGGACGCGTGTGAGCTACGGATTCTTTGTTTCTCATTGTACGGCTTGGGGTGTGCGAGGAGCCGGGGACTGAGAGCCTTGTTCATGGCTCATGCACCCTTCTCGTTTCCAATAGCCGCCCCGATCCATGCATTTTCCGCCACAGGCTTTAATTTATGGGTAAAGTATAGTAATGATCAATGAATTTTTTTAAAGCTTTCATTTAGGTCTCTCAACTTTTAAAACTTGTAATACAGTTCTCAAACATTTAGTCCGTTTGCAATATGGTCCCCGACGTAACCAGCCATTTGATGTCGTTAGTAAGTTTGCAATATGATCACTTAACTTTTTAGGGGTTTGCATTTAGGTCTCCTAACTTTTAAAACTTACAATATAGTCCTCAATTTCATTCTAAACCCCAAATTCCTTTTCGATCTCGAATTTCCTTTTTCTCTTCTCTCTTCTAATTTCCAGTCGAGGATGCATGATAAATTCTAATTTAACTTTGAATTATGTGAATATGTTGACTTGAATAAGGGTCCATTGAGAGAAGACCCGACCAATGGACTATCGAGACCATCAATGATTCAAGGTGTAATGTTAGATACATGTCATCTCAGGTGAAGCATAGATGTTCGATGAAATGCTTGTGAGAAAAAACTGGGGTTAGAAATGCAGAGTTGATAAATACTACTAAGATGAACTAAGTATCATTGTTGAAAGTCACCAATAAAGCTGGAATTATTTTGTATAAATTACATAATAATTTATTCGTTTATTCCTTATGGTTAAAGATTTTCCAATATATGATCAAATATAATTAAATCTCAAATAGCGCATTCACCTCTCAGTCTCTTTCGCAACTCGAAAGGCGTCATGACAGGGTCAAGTAGCTGCTCCAAATATACTACCATGTCATGATGTCTTTCGAGTTGCGTACATGCATAATTGTCTTCTAAAGCTATAATTTAATATAATTCAACTATAAAATTTCCAAAACATGTAAAAAAATCCAATTCGTTCACGATATATTAATCCCATAATCAACATGAACTTATTAAAAAGAATACGAGCTCACAGGACGCCGAAAACCATAGGTCAGATCAATACAATTCCCAGTAAACTAGTACCAGCAGTCTCTCAGATTTAGCATGGGGATTTCACTATGTCGATACTCACAACCAAATCCCTGATTTAAAGAAAAAACAAACAAGAAGATCAGAAAAATTTAGCCTAGAACCCTCTTTAACTTCTATTCTGATAGACTAAATATCATTCATAAGGAGTACTAAAAGTTTTGATTAAGAAGAAAGAAAGAAAATTAGATGGTTTTGGTTCAAAACTAACACTAAATATCCATATCATTGACATGCAGTTCCATAAACATAAAAATTTCATCAAAAAACACACAATGCGAGCTAAAAATGGGAAAGTACGAAAGAGGAAAAGCTTACTTCTAGATAGCCCAAAAGAGAAAATAAATACCTTCTTGAAAGTGAGGGGAGAGACTAAGAAATAAACTCAATCGGTGTTGTGTTCCAACAATTCTTTCTCCATTTTTTCTTTGTAAATAAAAAGCTGAAAGACAGAACACTGCTAGGGTTTACAATTTTACATGGCGGAAAATTGAAGAACAAAAACCAAACGAGAATGCAAGTGAGTGAAAGAGACTAAGAGGTCAATGTGTTGTTTGGGATTTCATTATATTTGATCATCTGTTGGAAAATATTTAAGCACAAGGATTAAACGAAGAAATTATTATATGCCATTTATACAAAATAATTCCAACTTTGTTGGCGACTTTCAACAATGATACTTAGTTCATCTTAGTAGAATTTGTCAACTCTGCATTTCTAACCCCATTTTTTTCTCACAAGCATTCATCGAACATATATGCTTCACCTGAGATGACATGTATCTAACATTACACCTTGAATCGTTGATGGTCTCGATGGTCCCTTGGTCGAGTATTCTCTCAATGGACCCTTATTCAAGTTAACACATCCACATAATTCAAAGTTAGATTAGAATTTCCCATGCATCCCCAACTGAAAAGTTACGCTGGAAATTAGAAGAGAGAAGCGAAAAAGGAAATTCGAGATCAAAAATGAATTTGGGGTTTAGAATGAAATTGAGGAATGCGTTGCAAGTTTTAAAAGTTGGGAGACCTAAATGCAAGCATCTGAAAAGTTCAGTGACCATATTGCAAACCTACTAAAGGCAGTGTAACGGCGTCAAACTTCTGGTTACGTCGGGGACCATATTGCAAACGGACTAAATGTTGGATGATTGTATTACAAGTTTTAAAAGTTAGAGGACCTAAATGAATGCTTTAGAAAAATTCAGTGACCATTACTATACTTTACCCTTAATTTATTTACTGTCATTATCAAACCCTTTTGAGTTTCTAAAAATAATACATCGGAGTTACTAGAGATAAAGATTATATGTCTAAGTTTCAGTCTCATTATATGCGTATATAAATTTCTAATTTGAAAATACCATCAAATGTTAAGACAAATCAAAATAGATGAAAATTTAAAATTTTCGTATTATATTTGTTATGGACCAATCATTTATCTTCGAAATGATTACAATCTTGGGTTATTAGTTGGTTGCTCTCATTATTTGTTAATCCCTTGAACAGGTCAAAGCACACGACCCGTTGTTCTCTCGGCTCAATGTGATTCAAACAAAACCATTCCAAATTTAGGACATCAACAACATTCCAAAATTTCTGGACATCCAATCACGTGCCCTTCAATCACCGGCAACAACAAATACCAGAATGTATATATATATATATATACACCAGTTTTTACGAAACACAGAACGGGGACTTTTAAATTGTCCTTCATTTGTCAGAGGTGAATCGACAAACGGGGCAAGCTACTATTTCTCTTGTCCCACAGTTCCTCGGATCTGTACCCCAATAATAAAACATCTTCCGAGGAGTTTCCGAGTTCAGGACAAGCAAAAGAAAAATGGCATTTACCGGGACTTTGGACAAGTGCAAGGCCTGTGACAAGACCGTTTACGTGGTGGATTTGATGACTCTTGAAGGAGTACCTTATCATAAAACTTGCTTTAGATGCAGCCATTGCAAGGGATACCTTCAAGTATCTCAATTTTCCTTTTAGGATTTTTTTTAACTCGTTAAATTCAAGTTGTTTGCACGGTAGTTATATATATGATTATAATTTGATCTATGTGTTTTAAATACGACACACATCAGATTTGAGTTGCCATTTATGGCCATTGACAGATGAGCACTTATTCCTGGATGGATGGAGTGCTGTACTGCAAGACTCATTTTGAACAACTATTCAAGGAATCTGGCAACTTCAGCAAGAATTTTCAATCAGGCAAAACCCCATTTTTACGTGCTTTCACTTCCTTCCCCTCATTCCTGTATGGCTACGGCTAACTACAATAATCTTCTTTGATGATCACTTTTGCAGGGAAAACTGAGAGGGGTGAACATGTATGTCTTTCTTCCTTTATGATATATATATATATATGTGTGTGTGTGTGTGGTGCTACTAAAATAGACACAGATAAGTTTAATCTTTCCAATAGATTATTATTACACAGTTTTTTTGCAATATGTTACAGAATAGGACTCCTAGCAAACTTTCATCCATGTTTTCTGGAACCCAAGACAAGTGTGCAGCTTGCGAGAAAACGGTGTACCCGTTGGAAAAGGTTACCATGGAAGGTGAATGCTACCACAAGACATGTTTTAGGTGCGCCCACGGAGGCTGTCCTCTGACACACTCTTCGTATGCCGCCCTCGATGGTGTCCTGTATTGCAAGCATCACTTTGCTCAGCTTTTCATGGTGAAAGGAAACTACAGCCATGTTCTTCAAGCAGCTACACACAGGAGGAACTCCTCCACGTCATCAACCGCCCTTACTGAAACTCAAGCCACACGAGAGGAAACCGCTGATGATGATGAAGAACAATCCAAAGAGGCATCCGATGATTAAACACACCATCGGTTCTTTTATGAGTTTCCCCACCATAATGCTTTTTGAGAGTTCTGCAACGAACTTGTTTGATCGGGTTTTTGGATTGGATTGATTTACTTTATGTATTTTGAATATACAGACAATATGCATGATCAATTCGTAATATATACTTTTAATAATTCCCTGATTTTTTTCTCTAGATTTTATACGCAAAGTGGGACATATATAGTCCACAAAACAAAATTCATTATCGAAAGAAAGTTGAAGTGAATAAAAGTAACCTTAATTGGGTTAACATTTGTACTTGCTTGACATCAGAATTCAACTTCTGCAACATACAACCAAAATCGAATGAAGAGATAGAAAACTTTGAGTATATGACAAGTGACAACACCAAATGCCAAAGGATAGTATTTTAATGTAAAAGCTAACTCATTTTATATCCTGATTTGCAACATAAAATCACACACTTTCTATTTTAGGTAAAATGTTGTATTTTCACCATCTGCCTTTTTCAGTGATAACTTTATCATCGATGTATACTTCCAAGGATGATGCAAATTCTCTTCTTAGATTCTCAGTCTTCTGTTTCAGTGCTGTGTCATCTAAGGCAGCACGGATCCCCTCCTTGATCTCCGTCTGTAATAGTTCCACCTTTGGTGAGCTAGAGTCTTTAGCCATCTCTACCTTCAATTCTTCAATTTTGCCATGAAGACCAGCTACGTCGACTACCCTTTCGATTTCTCCATCAATCTCTTTCTTCACACTTAAAATCTTCTCTTGTTGTTCTGGAGCTGCATCTGCAACCTTTCTCTTTGCCACTCCAACAATTTCCAAGTTTGCTGACTTCAAAACTTCAATCAGTTCTTTCATAGCTTTTACTGCCTCTGCCACAAAATCTTAGCCGAGTGGATCTCCTTTTGACAAGTTTGCCTGAGCATTATCCAATTGTTCCAACTTTGCTTTGATATCAGATGGAATCTTCTGATTAATCTCAGTTTTCAGTTTCTCACCTTTCTCTTTCAGCTCAATGAGACTGCTAATCATGCTCAGCTTTTCAAGCTTTTACTTTAAGCTAAGATATGCTCCTGGTTTTGACAAATTTTGCTTAAATTCCTGCATAAGGTTATCGGCCTTCACCTTCAAATTTCGGTTAAGGGTCTGATTATCGGTTGCCCTCAATAACTCCAACTTAAGTGACTCAAGCTTCTTTTGCAATCCCATTGAAATAAATGCTCTGGTAACCTCCTGGTCAACATCCTGCTTAAGTTTTTCTATTGCTTGGTCTGTGATAGGATCTGAAGATACCTTAGCCTCCAAAATATTCTTCTTCAACTTCTCGAGATCCGACTCTATATCAGCAGCATTCAGCATGCTAGCATCTTAAGGCCTCATGTTTCGTTTTCTTTCAGGTTCCACTGGCTTGCCTTCTTGGAAACCTCCTATTGATAGAAATTTAAGCATCCGATGGCTAAGCAACTCTTCCATATCCATTTTTGTTAGTTCCTATGTTCATTTGAACATCATTTTTTGTTAGTTCCTACGTTCATTTGAACATCATTTTAAGTTGCCTGTGACTTGGGAATCAACTAAAGGAAAAGACATTGGAAGGGTAAGTTCTTCCAATAGGGAAAAAAAGAATTTCAAATGTAAAAGCTGGTTGTTCTTTGAAGAAAGTATACAGCTTCAAATAGCATGTGAACCTCCAAGAGAGTCCTAAAAATAACAAATAAGGAAAAAGTGGAAAAATAAACTAGTGTTGTGAAAAACAGTTCTTGGCATTTTACTGAATTGGAAGACTCGAGAAACAGGATAACTTTATATGCTCGAGATGCTTACAGGGATGATACCATTAGCAATTTTGCGCTTTTAATGTTCTTGAGCTGTTATCCTCGGTTTTTCAGCTGCCTATACAAGTATGAAACATCGTTCCCAACAAAAAATGGTTCTCATTTACCATCAAATGAAATTACTTACCTTAGGAGCTGCTTGGGAAGATTTCCACAGTATAGCAGCACATGCTTCAGGACTGGTTAGAGCATCAGTCAAAAGAAGCATGTATTTCAGAGTTCATGTGTAAATAAAAACATGAGTACATGCAAAACAAAGACCACATGGAAAGTATACAAAATATAGCTGTAAATATATTTATTGTCTGTTAAGCTGAATTTGAGAAACAAAAGTTATACAAAATGAAGTACTACTAGTTTAGCTATAACCTAATATTTCTGTTTCTATATAACGATCACTGACCAAAGAAAAACTAAAACTCAAATTAACATGTAAAGCACCTTTCAGAACTTGGAAGTATTATATATTTGTATTTGATTTAACAACATTATGCATCATAATCTTCAGTTAATTTTTTTACTTTCCAAGCGATGCTACTGAATGAGTGAGGAAAAAGAATGAACTATTTCCACCTTGCATCGTATAGAACAGAGTTCTCATGCATAAGCAATTTATTGGGACAAGCAATGGCCAGAGTCCCACCAGAACCACCTCCACCAACAACAACTGTTATAATTGGCACTTTAAGGTCAAACATGGACCTCAAGTTGCGGGCAATTGCTTCCCCCTGTATAGGGTAAAACATGAAAAGGGTCATGTTATTATATGAACTGGGTGTTTCAGAATCTATAGTATGAAAATATCACGATTTCCAATGTCCGAAGATAGTTTCACACACTTGACCAAGTTCCTCTGATTTGAGATCAGCGTAGGCCCAGGAGTGTCAACCATTGTTATAATAGGAAGACCATGATGATCAGCGTACTTCATCATTCGCAGAGCCTTTTGATATATGTTTGTAAAAAGAGCTTTCATATGAATATTTCTTTACAGATCGTATGCAACAGATGAGATTTAAAACTGTTTTCAGTAGGCTTTCTCAAATATTAGTGATCACTTCTCTGTTACCTATGCATCTTTCCTGAAGTAACATAACATAATAAAATTCCGGGACAATTCTAATATCGTATAGACATGACATCTCATGCAAGCTGAGCCTTAAAGTTAATTGTTCAAATAAAATATCCTTGAAACGTACCCATGGGGAGTTGGCATTGCAAAATTGCGAATATTGTTCTCCTTTGTATTCCTACCTTTCTGCTGGCCTATAAACATGTAGCTCTTACCATCCATGGTTTCAATTACCATGGCTGGATCATCATAGCTAGCACGATCTTCATGGAGTTCCACCCACTATATGATAGTAAAAGAGTAAAACTATTAAAAAAATAACTTCATATTCTTTTAGGGAATAAATGTATAAAAGTTTTGTACCATTGAAATACCTTCTCTGTGATATTTAATATATGATCAAGAGCTGTGGGTCTGTTGGGATGTCGGGCAATTGTCAGGCGTTGAATAGGTGTCAAATGGGTGTATAAATCTTTCAAAGCCTGATGTTTAGAACAGATGAAAGGTTACAGATATGGAAATAAGCATGAGTAAATGTGGATTGCAATTTTAGTAGAATATTTAAGCAACCAGCAAAGGCCTACGATGAGATTACTGGGAATGGATCAGTGAACTTCTCCCTGTTACAACTGAAAAACTAGGAGCCTAGGACAATGGAACCCATGCCTTCATTTGACACAAGAAGCTGAAAACTACCATAACACTTTAGTTTTACACGAGAACATAAATAAATTTCAGAAATTACACTCATAACAAAAGTTACTATACCAGTGAATCAATAATTAAACAAGGATTTTGCTAGTAAGTATCCTTAAGTCACCCTTTAAGTCATAACCTTGTATTAGATGCAATAGATGACAATTTTATTGATGATTTCCTATACTTAGGGTGAAGATATTACTTCATATACTAGCCTTGAAGAGTGCCCTTAGGGAACTCGTTCACAAAATCCTTAAAACAAGCTGACAAAATGGGGAAAAGAAAACATAAGATTAACCTAATGATACTTGTTTTCCAAAGCTCCAATTTGAGCAGTAAAATCCAGACCAGTTTCATCAGCCATTCTGCATACCTGCTTAAAATTGTAATGAGCAAAACAACGAAGTTATTAAAATTTAGAAAGATTGTATATTTCCTAAAACATCATGGCAAAAGTAAAGAAAGTTGCTCCATTTTAAGATCAGAAACAAAACAAATATATCATCCACGGATGGACTGGACCCTGAAAATTTTAAATAATTCATATATTTTAGATTTTTTTTGTATTTTTTATTGATAATATATTTTTACCTATAGAATTTTATAAATTCTCTCTACTAGCATAAAATTACGAGTTTGTCCTTGATAATATCGACATAACATGATAAAGTTGAAAATTTGTCATTGGTTTCACTATTCATGAATCCTCATTATGTATCTTTACACAAATGATCATTGTTAAAAGAACATGAACTGTTATAATATGGGAACGATGATTATCGACAAATAAATAAACACGATCGAAAAGGAAAATCAAAGAACACCAAGATTTATATGAAAAACCCTAAAGGGAAAAACCGCGGGCAGAGGAGAAAAATTTCAATAATATAAAGGGAAAAAATACAATAGGATTTTGGTAAAAAAAAATTGATTTCTAACCCTGATCCTTAGTATCTATTTATAAGAATAAATACTTGATTAAAAAAGACAACTAAATAAAGTAGAAATCTACTTTAATAAAGTTTTATACTTTTAACCAAACTGGGTTTTCTACTTTCCTAATATTTATATATTAATTAATTTGTGCCACTTTGAATTCTAGTCAAACTCTAACAAATCTCCACCTTGAAACGAATTCTGAAAGTGCAAAGGTTTCGAGACAAAACACCCAAATTCGATATGACACCCAAACTCAACAAAAAACAATTATTCACTTCAACGAACAAGTTCACATCTTTCACAAGACCCCTCAAAAGGGTAATATTCAGTAACAGACACCAAAAAAGTCCAAGCTTTTTCTAGGCTTGGATTTAGTCTTCACATCGACATGGTTATCATAAGTGCCAACTGTGCTCACAAATGTTTCACCACAAGCAATATCATGCACAACAAGATCTCAATCATCAATGATAGTTCTATCTTCAAATTCATTATGTTCACGAAATTGAACTATTTTCTGCTTCACATAATCATTCTGCCCATGGTTGTTTTGTTCAACAGTATTATTTGACACGGTGGATTAAACACCAACTGCATTTTCTA